ATTCCTTTCATTAGCAATCACAAACAAGATTCATAAAGCCATCAAACAATGCCAACTGACAATCAACATAATGCAAAAACCAGGTAAAACACCAAAAGAATTATTAGTTTACTCTTCATTCTCACAAACAAAATATGCCAAGAAACAAGGCTACGCCAGAGAAAATGGAGCAGGACAAATGTGCCACATCAGAAACATGGTCTATCAAATCATTTGTAATATATGTGAAGATGCACACATTGGAGAAACTGGAAGACCTTTACACACAAGCATCTCAGAACACATTAGTGCATTATATACATATCACTAACACAAAACTGCTCCAGCAGAACACTTCCTATACAAACACAGAAAACCAAGAACCATTTAAAGTTTCTATCTTACAAAAAAAACAAAGATTTTAAAGAGAGAAAATATATGGAAGCTATACTCATTAACAAAAAAATACAAAAATGAAGAGACAATGAGTGGTACATGTAACTAAATCACCATGATTCCATTCAAAAAACAACAGATCATAGCAATACACTTGACACTGTTACTTTCAGTTTAACACTTGCGTACTCTGGAGTATCACACAGTATTGCAATTTGTTTTTAACACTGCTAATATACTTTGTATTCTTTCCACTTTTTATAGTTTCTTAGGAGCTTCTATTTTCTATCTATGTGTTTTTTTAGCTAATCATAAAACGTATTGTAGTTCTCTGTATTTTTATATGTCATATGCTAGTATAGCTGTATAGTTAGTATTGTAACTATAATAGAACAATAATGAAACCCTAATAATAATCTGTACATTGTTAGATGCACGTTATGGCATACTCGAGAAATAGAAAATTACAAGTAGTTTTATGACTCAATGAATATTATAATATCAACAATTGTGTATATTAACCCTGATGAAGCTGCAAAGGCAAAACATTAGTTAAAATAAAAATTATTTAATACATATATATGGAGTATAAAGGTCGTTTTTTCTAGTTTTTTATCAACATGTGTAAATCCCTCCAGTATGCACTACAAATTTTGAAAGAGAACAATAAATATTTAATGGTTATTTTATAAATTTCTTGTTCTTCTTTAATAGTATAATAATTGTGCTTTGATTGTGTGAATGAGTTTAAAGAAACTGATCCAGTTAAAAGATGGTAAATACTAAACTGAGGCTGGAATTTGATGGAATCTTGCATTCCAAAACATACATACCTCTGCTGCCACTAATAGCTATTTTTCGATCTTCATTTTTGCCATCTAATGTTGTGTTTGCTTGCTCCAGTTTTTATATACCCCACTCGACTGCCCTCAGCAGTATCAAATTTGCAAAACTTTACGCTGGCCCTCACACACCCTCTATGTAGGTATTGTATATAAGCACTGTATGCAGACAATAAAATCACTTTTTCTCGACAAAGCGTGAGCATTCAGACTAACGCTTTGTGATTTACATTTTCTTATTTTTTGTTTTCTAATAATCAGGAATTTTTTGTTTTGTTATGCAGAGATATATTTTGCTGAATTTGTTTTTACGACAAATACATATTCCAAAACAAAATTGGATATGAATTCCCACATAACAGTTTCAAGCACAAAGGCTACTCAGCCTTTATATATTCCCCCTTTGTTATCTATTGGAGGTCAGCAGTCGAGGGGGGGGGGGAACATTCTTCGTGGAAGCTGTCCGTGACCTGATTTGGGGTTAGATCAAGTACTTCATGTGGCCTGGGCATATCTCTCTGGGAGGTGCTGATTTGAATTTTCATTCTGAAATGGGATATTCTTGGGAGAATTTAGACTCCTGTTTCCTGCTCCATCTTTCACTGGAGCTTCCTCTCCTGAGGACTCATCTGATCAGCCACCTTCTGCCCCTTTTTCTGCAGTTAGTTACACGTGCTTGTGAAGTTTCGGAGATGCAACCAGATAGTTTTGAGCCTATCCCTGTTTTGTTGTCCAGTAGTTCTCAAGGGGATTATTTAGTTTTTCTTCTTTCTCCTGATATTGCTGTGCATGCAGAGAGGTTTGCAACACAATTATGTGAGTATGTCGCTATGCCTTCTGCCCCCTTGTTTATCTGAACAAAATGCCCTGGCATATCATCTTCAGGATGATGTATATTTAAACACATAAAAGTTAGATCTATGTGGTGCCAAGTAAGAACCTGTTATTTCTCTTAACAGGTCGCAATTTTTGCAGATTGATTTGACTCTTACTACTGTTTTAAGATACTTCTCTTCCCTTCAACTTTTGTCTGAAGCATATCACCATTCGCCTCAACAATTTGACAATGAACTGGGCTATTTACTGGTCACTATTATGACAAGTTTGTCCTCTTCAGGACTTGCTTTGGTGTTGTGGTTTGTCTGTTGCTGGGACTTGTTGAGTCGTGATGCATTTTTGGAGGGTATTCATTTACCTTCTTCTGCTCTTCGAGGTTTATGGGAAGTGGCTTTTCTTCAGCCTTATTTACTTGCTGGAATTTTAGAATCTTTAGGAGCCAAAGTTGATACAACACATTTGCAGTCTTCTTTATCGTCTTTGGCTGCTTGACCCTATTCTACTTCCACTTGTACTTCAGCATGTTCATCCCCTCATGTATCAAGGCCCCCACTCCTTCCACTCCTCGTTCCATTGGTTCTCTTAATCATTTCCATCCTTTTTCTCGAGAGATATTTTGTGGACCGGTATGTGGACTTCTCCCGACACATTCATATCTCATTACTTTCATGATCTGGCAGTTTCCTCTTTGAAGGGACTTTGCCTTCCCTCTGTGGCTGTTTTGATTACCTCTACTAGATTTTAACAGGGTGGTGAGTAACATGTTATCTGACTTACAGTTATTGATACTTTCTCTTCTAGGGTCCCTACTGATTTTTTTTGGATCCCACTCGGTGGTGGGTGTTGCCCAGTCAAGTATGCTTGTATTTAAATTCCGCACTAGCAACCTTTATATCGGTTCTTGGTTGCAATGGGCTCTGTCGAGATGAGGTGTTCCATAAGACCATCTGGACACAATTCTGGATGGTGATATCATATTACAATATTTCTAATGGACTGCTACTCATGGACTATCATGAGTAAAGCTAAAGGGGATTTTGCCAGTCCCTGCTGACCTTAGAGCTGAATCAGTCGAGATAACTTTGCTTTTAAAAATTAGAGAACGTGATTCCCCTGTTGCACTGTCTCTTCCAACAAAATCCTTCAGAAGCCAAGAAGCATTGATACAAATGTTCATTTATGATATGATGCAAGAAAGTCAGGGCCAGCCTTGGTCTGCTGGTTTGAGCACTTGACTTACAATCTGCAAATCACAGGATCGAAAACCCAACACCAAACATACTTGCTATTTTAGTCATAGGAGCATTATAATGCTCCAGCCAATCCCATTATTTACTGGCAAAGAGTAGCAAGTATCCCAAGAGTTGGAAGTGGGTACTGCCAATAAGTTTCCTTCCCTTTAGTTGACAACTTAAAAATAAAGGCTGCAGACGACAGCCATAGTAGCTTTGCCATAAACAAACAAAAAGGGCCAACCCACACTGATTTTTTTTAGCCAACGTTTTACCAACAAGTATTTGTCTTAGCCACATTTGTCTATTCATGTCTCAATGTATATGTCTAAATTTGCATTACATATTACATTTTGGAAAGGAACTGTTGTAGTGGAAATAATATTAACTTAAGAAAATTTCGAGTGCTTTTAAGTCAACCTATATTTTTGCTGTTATTTAATTCTTTCCTAACCTGTGTGACCTAATTCACATGACATGAGAAGACAAGCAGCGAAGTCAATGGCTATATAAAAATCCTCAAATGATTTTTACATGGATTTAGTTAGGTACTGTATAAATATTGACCACAGAATACAGGAATCTTTAAAATTTATTTTAGTCTGACACAACTCACAATCTGAGGGTCGTGGGTTTGAATCCCTGTCACAAAACAAGCTAGCCCTTTCAGGCATGGGGGCATTATAATGTGACGGTCAATCCCACTATTCGTTAGTAAAAGAGTAGCCCAAGAGTTGGCGGTGGGTGGTGATGTCTAGCTGCCTTACCTCTAGTCTTACACTGCTAAATTAGGGATGGCTAGTGCAGATAGCCCTCGTGAAGCTTTGCGCAAAATTCAAAAACAAACAAACAAACAAGTCTGACACAATTTTCATTCATGATTTTAAAAATAATATATTCTGCTTTAAATATTTTTAAACAACCAATTACATCTACTAACTGGAGAAACAAGCTTTAAACTATATTTATGAATCTTGCAACATGCCTTTTCAGATCACAATTAAGCATCAGATGTGTTACTCTTGTAAAAAAAAAAAAATCTCATTAAAGAAGCTCTATTTTCAAAGGTATCTGCATTATCAGATTACTTATTTTGTGTACTGAAGAGAACCATACTTAATATTCCAAAGAAAGAAAACCAGTAATTCTGCTTAGCTCTTACCATATGAATGATAAATATCATGCAGAAGTAAGCTGAATTCAGTTTAATGTATTTCCGAAATGAGGGTAGAAACTTACTATTGTTTCATCACTGAATAAAAAAACAATATTGAAAGCTTGATATTTAAGTAAGCACATAATATACTTGAAGTAAAGGTTTTGATGTGATAATGCAAGTAGTATCCCACACTATCGAATTTCCTAACAAAAAAAATGCGGTTTGGATATTAAGAGAAAGAAAATGTTCTGTTTAAATATTGTATATCTAATTACCTCTTTGTTTATTTTTATTTTTTTATATCCTAGGGGCAAAGTCATAGCAACTTGTGACCATACTGAACAGATTGTTTATGCTGATATTGGTAAGTTTTCTATAATGTAATATCTCAGGGCAGAGATTTTTTGCATATACAGATTTATTCATGTTTTTAAGCTTAATATGTTCTGTTAACATTTAACTGCTTTAAGTATGAATAAGATATTACACAGTTTCAGTTTTTGTGTTATGTAATTTACTGATTTTTAAAAATATAATAAAAAATAATGTGATTTTCTTTAATGCTTAAATAAAAAATTTTACTTTTTATACAGGAAGCTGGAAGATATTTTTGACATTGACACTATGAGAATGGTGTAAGATAAAATGTTGCTGTAAAAGATAAATTTATATTATAAGATTTAAAATTATCAATTTATTTTCTGTAAATTTCAAACAGCATAGGATATAATATTTCTTTAAAAGATAAATTGATATTATAAAATTTAAAATTACCAATTTATTTTTGTAAATCTCAAACAGCATAACAATTTAAAGACTAACCATATGACAAAAAACATTGCCTAATTAGGAGACTGTTATACATACACATAACTTTTTCTGCACATGTCACGACCTTTTTTCAGAGTTACATTTAAAATGTAATTAAACTACTTTATTATCAATGTATATGAATAAACTTGACATCAAAACGTAGTTAATAAACTGAATTTTAATATTATATAAGTATTAATGTTATAAGGAAATATTTTAAAAAATCCTCAATCTTCTTAGTATGAGGATTATGACATTTGCTCTATATATGTCTCCCTTCTTCTCTAATTTGTTTACTATCCCTCCAAGAATTACAGAATTTAACATAAATTACTCATTATAACATATTTATTACTCAAACAAAGCAATCTTATTTTATTATCAATGTATATGAATAAACTTGACATCAAAACGTAGTTAATAAACTGAATTTTAATATTATATAAGTATTAATGTTATAAGGAAATATTTTAAAAAATCCTCAATCTTCTTAGTATGAGGATTATGACATTTGCTCTATATATGTCTCCCTTCTTCTCTAATTTGTTTACTATCCCTCCAAGAATTACAGAATTTAACATAAATTACTCATTATAACATATTTATTACTCAAACAAAGCAATCTTATTTGTTTATGAAGCCGTAAACTCAAAATTGGACCCATTTGCCATACACTTCTGTCACATCTCCTTAATAAGTTGCCTTTAGTTTTATCTGACGTTTAATACTACATTAATTATAACCAGTAGAAAGCCAAAATTTTACTCTATCAAATGACATATTATATTACATGGTTTTTTGTGTACCTTGCCTCTAGTTTGAAACTTTATTCCCATGGGAAACATATTGTTACGCATCTGTTTGTTTGATAATTTCCGGTAGAAATTCTTTCCGAGGAACTTCAGTGATACAAGTCCTTTCTTGATAAAACCAGTTTATTCTTCCTCGATACAAACTTTTAGTACACAGTAATTCCACGGTCAATACGTTTCTCGTCACTTTAATCTTAACTTTTATAATACACGCTATAAATCACAGTGATTCACACACTTTACTTACAGTCACTACTCTTCGCTTCTTTAATTATCTATCTATCGCTGGCTTCTCTGCCAGGCTTATACACTAAAAAAGAGGGCATCTCGAACAAACTCAGGCCTCCCCGATCATTCATGATTATTCGAGAAATTCATCACATGCCACCAGCGTCACGTGACTTCTGCTGTCGTAACAATATTGACAAGCTTAGCTGAATAGTTAGAAAGGCAGAAAAAATGATGATAGTTATAGGACATTGTTTGCTTTTTGCATATTATTATTCTGTGTTATTAGATGAACTATTTAATTAAATAAAAAATATTTAGTGTAGTAGTACTATTAGTATAAAAAGTAGGCTTAGTTTCATCGACAGTTGACAGCACAAAACACAAGGACCCAGTAAGCACTATATTTCACTTTTTCATGTGTAATCTTTATTTATTGTTATAAAAGTAACTCAAATGTAAAAATTAAAAATTTACTAGGTTAGATTAGGTAAGATAATGAAAACAATAATTTTAGTTCATCACAAGATATGCTCATGAGCAGCTCATGCATTACGTAATTTGATACGGCTACGTGAGCTATATGTTTGCCAATTGATTTCTAACTTGTGTGGCGATACTATTTATAGTATTAGTTAAACATGGTTAAGAGATCAAACAATAAAATGAAGTATAAACAGATGTATATCGTTACCAGCTTTAAGCTATTTAGGATAAAGAATTGTGGCTTCCTGTTACAATTTTCAGTTTCTCTAGAAAGATAAAGGGTAATTTAGATTTATTTCCTCATTTTTTATGGTGGTTATGTTACGAGGTCAGACTAATTCACTGACCTCACATAGAATTTGGGTAGACAAAATAACAGATAAAATATATATAGTTTCCTTTAAAAAAAAAATGTTTGATATTTATTTAGGAAGTTTTAGAGATTACACAAATGCAATTTGATAATTTTCAAGTGAAAAAATGAAAATGATCTTCTGTTTTAACTTTTAGATTTTCTCGATTTGCAGCAAAATGTTATTTATTTCATATTTCCAACTTCTGCAAAAAAAGGAGTTAAAAGGTTAAAATTAGAAATAAATTAAAATTACAATACAAAATAAAAATCAGAATAAATCAATAACTGAATGAAATAACATCAAAGTTACAATGAAAAAATGAAAATCAAATCAGAATTTGAACAAAATAAACTAAAAAAAATGAAGAAAATGTATAAAATCATAACATAAGCCAAAAACTGAGCATAAAGTTAGTGAAATACAAATCAAATTGAAATATTGCTGTAATACAAATTTAATCATATTACAGAATTTGGGTTTTGACCAGTTACATTCAAACTTTAGTATATGAAATAGAACATCGTAGATTGTCAGTATGATACAGGACACATCATCTTTACAATAGAATTTAAATATATGAAAAATGATATATGATGTACTATGTGATTAAAAAACACTGTACATCATTAAGAAATTTAGAAAAATTACCTAAATTAATATACAAAATCATCTAACCATGATATAAAATAAAGTAAATAAATTTGAAAAAATAAACAGATTACGCTTAATCCAAAGTGAATTCAAATGAATAAAATAAACAGTATGTTATAGTGCAGAGCTACATACATTTACAAAGAAGAGCACCTCTCGAAACACAATGGAAAACTACACCATCAATAATTCTCTTCAGTGGGGTGCCATTCTTCAGCATCTGTATGCCCTCTCAGGCTTTTCATAGCATAGGGGTTCAGGTCTCCATCTACTCTGCTGGGTGGGTCTGATAATGGTGATGTCACCTATCAATAACCTGGAGCACGATGTTACTCGGGGTCACCTTGGAATCCATTGTTAGCCATGTATCTAGCTGGACAGCTGGTTAGTGTTTTATGCATCCTACATGAGAGTGGGAGGCTGATATCGTATTTTTTCCAACCTTCCTTCAGCTGCCAAGCTTCTGGATAAACATCCCTTGAGTGGGACATGTGAACCTCCTGTATATTTTTGCTGTATCATTGTTACACAATGTAGTGCTTTTAATAGGGCAAAGGTGTTGCTTTTGACAGATATATTTTTACCAACACTTTGAAGAAATGGTCAGAGACATGTTGAGCACTGCCTGTACGGAGGTAAATGTGATAATTTGTTTTCTCGCATACTGATGGCCCATGTGTCATCTCTTGAAGATTCAGTTTTCTTGTTGTGGCTGGCTTGGCTACAAGCTCTTGTATCTGCCATGGTAGAACTTCTTACATCCTCAGAAACCTTTAGGTTGAGGTTTTTCCCAGGTATTACAGACACTTACTTCACTTGGGGCTTCTAGCTCTGCCAACAACAAGTTATCTTCTACATTCTGAGTTTTGGTAAATGATAACAATCAGAAAAGAGAGAAACAGTGGTCAAGAATTATATATATATATAAAACAAAAGTCAAGAATGAAAATTTAACTCAGCTAGCAGTGTTAGATTAATCATTGTGATCTATTTACGCCACAATCTTCTTTCTTCTAGGATATAAAAGATGTAGCATAAGTGTGCATCTTGCAGTGTTTGTGGCACTACCACGGGTGCCTGCAGGAATGGCATGAGGGGCACTTTTCTCCCTTACGTTTCATAAAAAATTGCACGTATTATGATGTAAACTTAACATTGTAGTTAAACAAATTATTTTTAGTAATTTTTTATTAAAACTATAAATTTGTGTTTAAGCATGTACAACATTCTTTTAGTCTGTTGATTTACACTGTAAAACCTGATCCCCTACATCCTTGTTTTGCCCCTTCAGAATATTTCTGTGGGTGCCCCTGGGCACTACTATACTATAAATACAAGTTTTTCTCAATTGCTAGTAAATGTACAAACCAGTAGCTCCTATGGAACAGTATGTGTGGTCAAAACCACTAGCATATATGGAACAGTTTACATTAATTTATGTTAACCAATGTATAAACCACTAACTTCTGTGAAACAGTAAACATGCAGCAATGTGGGCCAGACTTCTGACAATGAGCTTTCTGGTCAGTGAGTAGAGCCATCTCACATGCACATGAAATCTTCCACTATTGATTGGTCACTTGAATGGCACATCTCAGAATTCGATAAAAATGGTGAGGTTAAACTGCAAACACCTTACATCAGTAATTAAGCCAGCTAATTTACAAATTGTGATTGAAGCTTCTAACCCAGAAGGTTTCACAACCTGTCTCTGTTCATAATTCCAACTTGCTTTCTGAAGCAAGTCACATGTAATTTAAGTAAGTAAAATTATGCCTGATTTCACAAATAAAATAACACTTATGTTCATGTAAGCAACAGGGATTGGATGGCCTGGTGGTTAGGGTGCTCGATTTGCAATCTGAGGGTCGTGATTTTGAATCCCTGTTGCCAAACATGCTCATCCTATATGGTTGCCGTCTGGGCCAGCCATCCGGGTTTGAAAATTTTAGTTTTACAAAAATATTGGCCAACCCCAAACTAGTTGGGACTAAGGTTGTTACGGAGAAGAAGTTTGTGTAGCCAACATCAAAAGTATGTTAACACTACAAATAAATGTAACTAACAAAAAAATATGTGTAAAAAACTACCATATTCGAAAATAAAACATTCACAAAGTCTGTAAATAGTTTGAGTGTAAAAATGAAATTTATTTCCTGATCAGAACTACTAGAAAACAATAGGTATACTATGTTTTTCTTTCATTCTGATGAATAAGTCAACTTGATTTAATCTTCAAAGACTAAGTCACACAATCTCCAAATATCCCAGTTGCTTTAACTGCAAGATGTTTCTTCATCAGTATCAATGTAAACAATGATTCCATCCATGTTTCTAACTTAGTGTGGTGTAGACCCTAAAGCAACTGGTCTTTCTTAGTCAAAAAAATCACGTACTTACAAATATTCCAGTGTGGGATGAAACTGAAAATATCATATACCAGCATTAAGAATACATAGAACATTGTGGTCTGAGCTAACCACTGTTCCATTTAAGAAACATACCACATCTTAAGTCAGTCTTTATTTGCATGAACATGTTGTGCTGTTCTATATATATTACATTTGTGACATAATTGTGTGTGCACAGATTGGTCCATATATAATGTGAAACATTCACAAACATATTCAGTTTTATACTGCTGAATATGTACTTGCAGTACATGATGTCACCTTTCAGTAGCTTGCCTAGTAACCATAGCAACAGACTCCAGCATCAGTCACACTCTGCATATATGCTAAGTGCAGGAAACTTTCAGATACTGCCAAAAGAGACTACTCCAATTTGAACAATATCATGAAAATAATAGTAACCACAGATTGAAATAAGTAGGTATGCCCCTTTCTGCCATCTAGATCACATCTCGTATCATCAACTACAAAACATAAGCATGTACACATAATCAAATATTGTGTTTGATTGTGCATAAGAGATAAAAGCAAAATTAATTTTGCTACCATAATACAGTCTGAATCTCCATGATTTTTTCCCATCAGTACTGCTATGTAGGGGTTGTCAAGCAACACCTACACGAGATAAACACAAAATAATTGAAACTAAAATCTAACTGATATCAGTTTTATGTGTTGTGTTAGAACACAACTTCCTTTCTATATTTAAGGAAGATTGGTGCAGACTTACCATACAATCAGGAGTAGTATTGCAAGATTGACTTACATGCAGTATTACAGGTTTCTCAGGAAGGCTTTACAGGCAAATATTTACCAAAATTCACCACGAAGTTTAACCTGAATACTAAGAAAACAAGAATTGCAAAGTCCTTTCAGCATAGTGAATCGTGAGAGCATTTATCATAAACATTCAAAACCAACTATCACATTCACTAGGATCTAATCTAACAATCTGTGTCTAGCAAGTATCTTGCAGTCTTCTCCACAGAAATGCCACTGTAATTCAGCTAGATAGATTGAGTGATTACTGCAAGACACTATTGTCTTGCTAACAAATATTGCTCAGTAGCTCAGAGAGTGAGGATCACAACATCCTTTCAGTGTTGATCTTTCAACAGACCTACTGTCCTAACTGTAAAATAGCCTAGTGATTATCGCATGAGATCCTGAAGATGTGATATTGCAAGTCACTATTTAATAGCTTGAAAAGCAAGGCATACCACTTTGTTTCAGTCCTTGATTTTTCATTCAGCTGACTCTCCTACTTGCTGCTCAAATTGATAATTCAAACTGACCATTGAAGCAGATAGACTACTCATCTATTATTATTTCCCCATCTGGTTTCAAAGAAACAGCCAGGTATGAACTGCCCATTTCTTCTTCTCATTAAAGTAGTCGAGAACATAGTGCTCTTATCATCAGGATCAATTTGCTCTTCTTCATCTGATCTCTACAATAACCAGTTCTTAAGAGCCTCATTGGTGATTTACAGTTTAAGTTTATTAACATGCTTATGTGTATAATATGACTGCTGTAAATGATAATTCACCTCATTGAGTTGTTGACATACAACATATGGACCAGAACTTAGTTCTTAAGTGTGTAGAAGCATGTGCCAAAGCAAGTCAACAGACTTAAACTTCCATTATGTTACTGTTTTGTCATAGCATGTTTTTTAATACATGGCCATTTTACCTATTTTCAAAAAAATGCAAGCACTGGTTGGTTTACTTGTTTGATATCATCACCACTGTTTGGTTGAGATGCTCCTTCTAAAGTCTGAAGACATATGCATATCCTGATGACTGTGGAATTCTTATGCAAAATCTGGAGCAGAACATTGCAACAGTTAGGGATATGTATTGTTCTCACATTCCATGTAGACTTTAGGCATAATGCTGTCTAAAGAATCATTAATATGCCTTACCAGCTGGTAATGCTCTTTAATTTTCTAAAGATCCATTGTCAAGAAATAAAATTATTTCCATATTCACAATCAAAGTGTGAGTGTGTTTTTGTCAACTGGCCAGCTTCAGGTTTGCATTATAACTTTGACTGGTTCTTGTTGTTGGGGCAGAGAGGTTTCCACAATGAAGGGTAAGATTCAGAATAAGATCTAAAATCATGTAGATACCCCCATTGTAAATCACACTGGAGCTCAGTTTGGTATCCTACAGTGCTTAGATTAACTACGTCAGTGATCATTCGAAAGAACTATATTGAAGATAAATAAACCTCAAACTCACATTAACTCATGGAAGTTTCTATAACATTCCTTGGAACAAGTAACATACCACTTCAGTAGTATATGACACAGAAATGGGACATAGCAGTGATAAGTACTATAGTACTATTTTTGTACCTAACCTTGGTGTAATGTAGAGGTTTAGTGCAATTTTATGAATTTGTGTGTCCTGTTTACTTGGGGGGAGGGGGGGTTGATGCTCTAACTATGTTCCAAACACCTGCAGAGCATATATAGTCCATTGTGTAGCTTTGTACTTAACAACAAACAAACAATACTAAATATTTAAATGTAAGTCTTTGTCAAAAGTAGGAAAATAGTAATTTGTACACATTTTTAATTAATTGATTAACTTGTGTTTAGTTTTAATCCTGAAATTTGTGTACCTAATTTTTTTTATATATAAAAATGTACCTTCAAAAAATTATTAAGCAAGTTGCCGAAAACTAAAAATTTTGTATATATGTACAAAAATTGTCAAATCATTTGTTCAAAGTTATATGTACTTAATTTTACAAAACTTTGTACATAGTGTGCAAGAAAATTACTGTTAAATGTTATCTTATATCAGCATTGCAATCATACTTTACAGATCTCAACTACTTGAATGATGTGAGACAACAGATTCCTCTGACCAAACAGAAAAGAGATGACTTATACAGTCTTTTCAGCTACTTAGATGAACAGCAGACTGTTTAATACACCAGAAAAATTGGACTGATAGATTTAACGATTTCTTTTTGGAAAAAGTAAGAGTTGTTACATAATGTTTCTTTCCCTGATGCAAATATGATTTGTAATGATTATAAGGTTGATAAATTTTATTTTCTCATGATTTGAGTATCACTGCTTAATGTTTTTAATATATCACAGTAACAGTTGATATACCATTATTATCTTTAGTTATTTAAAGCTCCCCAGTGGCTTATTAGTAAGTCTGATGGCTTATAATGCTAGAAATTCTGTTTCAATACTCATGATGGGCAAAGCACATATAGCCCATTGTGTATTTTTATGCTTAACAAACCAAATAAATGGTAGTTCTGTCAGAATGTTAAGGTCTATATTTTAAGGTATTTAAAATGTGATAATCTAGCCATACTGATAACAATTTTTCTATTTTGATACAAAAATTCCTGTGAAGGACAGTGATGTCTATCTTAAACCATATGCTTTGACATACTTTCCACTGTCCCTTGGATCAAGCAAGGCCCAGTGGATAACATAGTGAACTACAGATATCTTGCAAGTCTACATTTGTATCCTGTTACTGCAAAAATATTTTTAAAAATTGAGCTCCACATTTTGGGACCATGGGTGCATTTAAAGAGTGATGATCGATCCAACTATTTAGTCTGACGAGAGTACCCAAGAGTTAATGGGAGGTGTTGACTAACTGCCTTCCTTCCAGCTTATCAGTTCCAAATTAGGGATGGTTAGTGCAGGTAGCTATTGTGTAGCTTAGCACAGAATTCAACAGACAAACCACAAACCTTCCTTTGTACTGTGGACATCAGCTTCAAGACCACTTTTAAGCAGGCCAAAGACAAAAATCAAATGGAACTGTGTTGAAGAACTGATATTATTCTAATCTATTCAGTTATCTATCTCATGAAAACAACAGTTGTTTTGAGATGTGGTAAGAAGGAAACTTGCTAATTTTTTGGGACTATCATCCCTTAGAATTTTCAAATCCATATTTGTTATCTTGTTAACAACACCAGGAAACGTGTCAGCTTCATTACACTAGCTTTTTCAGTCAGATGGTTTTCTTTTTTGTAATCATACTTTTCAAGGTGATGTTCTGAATTGTACTCTCAGAGCTTAATTCTGTGCTAAATGCTCTACTATGAAAAGCTCTTTTCTTCAGAATGTGATCTTACATGGATTAAAATCCCACTATATACAAATAGTCTATCAAGACTACACTGTCAGTTAATCATCTGTGAACATAGAAGTCATCTTACTAAAACATACTTATCTCTGCTGACACTTATAACTATTACTCGACCTCCAGGGTTTCTTCCCATGCCCATCAAAGCATTGGTTTGATTTTTTCTTGCTTGCTTCAGTCTTTTGAATTCCAATTATTGCCCTTGGCGATATTTATTTTGGGATACTCTCCACCTATGTCAGTGTGCCCTCTATCAAGGTACTGTATATAAAAGCACCTCACTCAGATAATGTTATCACTAATGGGTTTCCCAGTATTATGATTGTTCAGAGATACTTTGAATGTTATCAGTTATCTAGTAGATTTTCATAAAAATAATAATAAAAAATTTTCTCTTCCGATTTGCAAGCCGAGTTACATTATGAATTCCTGGATTATTATTTCAGGAATGGAGGCAAATTGTCTCTCTCCTATCCCACCTCTGATATCTAGCACAGCAAAACAATTGGAGATGAGACTGTCAGTGATCTTATTCATAGTGAGATGGAGACATATAATTGGATCTGTGGTGGTCCTTCAGGGCACTCTGAGGCTGCATTTGAGGATGTGTGCAGCAGATGGCCCGAAGTTGCTTTGCTCTAACAAAACAACTTTACCTCACAAAATGCTGTTCCAATCAATGGTAATCAACACAGTCTTTAAGTGACATAAGAAAAAACGAAAATGAGGCCACTTTGGATAAGCTGCTGTTAATTTGTTTTTCAATGTTGGTTCTTTGAAAATGTGATGTTTTGGGCTTTTTTCAATTGCTTTTGAGCCTGCACATTACTTGATGGATGAAAGGCTTGGGAGCGAATTTTTAGTTATTTCTTCATACATGGATCTTGTGATTCATGCTGGAAGGTTGACTTCTCAGTTATGTTAAGGGACAGTTAGGCTTTATCCGATACAGTGTTGTAACTTCGTGATTTAGCCTTCCACCATTAGGTGGAAGCATTTTTTTACTCTCAAATAGTACAATAGTACAAATTTCAGGGTTCTAAAGTGTAATTTGTAGTTCAGTTTCCCCTGAACTACAAATTTTTAGACTTACAACTCTAAAATTCAACATTTTGTTAGAAGACTAGCAGGATCACCAACTTCATTGTTGAGGAGCTAAATCCCTTGTTAGCATGCATGTTGGTTCAGTTTTCGTCTCCTATATTCCTCCCTGTTGTTGTTCAAATATCGAATTACATCGGCTCCAAGAGAGGGTCATAGTTCCACCCCTATTCATGGGACCCGACCCCTGACATCAGCCCCTTGGTACACAGAATAGATTCTGTCTATAAAGATTTCTGCTGCTCAGTCAGATCGCCAGTGGCATTGGTGATATTATTGTATACTTTCAGGGGCTGTGAGGGCTTGGTTCCAAGAATTTCTGGTCGTATGGTAAGATTACCTATGAATCCAAGAGCTCTGTAGGTCCATTCAGTCACAATAAGTCGTTCAGTTCACATCTTCACCACTATTATCCACCCAACCTGTAGGGTTTCCATCTCCCACAGTTTATTGGGATTTGGAACTTTGTTCTAGGGTAATCTGTGCTTAGTTGGTCTGGGTAGTGAGAGAGTCATGCTAGTTTTTCAGTTTTTATTCCTGTCAGTCGTTTGGCCTATGCAGACAGGAGATTGGTGTCCAGTCATTTATATTTCTCGTCTATATCAATACCTAGATTCTCCAAGGTTCACAAATTACTCATTCCTCAATCTGTTGATATTTTACTGGGATTGTAGATGTCCTAGTTGATTGTAGTCGGCTTCTATTGGCATTTCTTGTGCATCAGAGTCAGGTACTGCAGTTTTGTGTTTTTACCTTTGGACTTGCATCGGCTTCACTTACGTCATCTTCATTCCATCATATGGTGCACACACCATCCATGGACAACTAATTACTGCTGGCACCATCTCGTCAATTGTCAGAACATCACATCCTGATTATACTTTCAGAATCAACAAAGGCAGGCTTCCCGTTCAGGACTGAGACATCTATCCTTGCTCCAATTCAATATGTCAATAGTTGGGCTCAGCTGACTTCCTTCTGGCTCAATGCTATAGAATAGGATGCCACACTCCTACTCACTTCACTTTCTCTCAGTGCATGGATGGTTCTTTCTCTTCTGGGAATGTGGGCATCACTTGAATCCTTCGTGCCTTTGGGACGAGAACACAAGCAGCCCTTTTATTGGTCTTTGTGCGACCAAGAGATCATAAATATCAATTCACTTGTTTCCCCAGTTTTCTTAGTCAGGATCATTCTTGGATCTTGAGGGGTTGTTAAGTTGGGACACCAATACGATACATATTCCTCTACTGCCATCTCTTGGCTTATTAAGGGGTAAATTGTCAGGCTCCACTCTGACAATTCCATGGTGGTGTCTTGTGTTCATCATCAAGGAGGCGTGTGGTCTGGGGATCCTCGTTTTAAAAATTTGGACCTCATTTCTCATGACTTTTCCTGCTAGCTTGCCATGTTTCACAGGGATGCCCGTGGTAGTAGGTCAGTTGTCTCATTCCAAACAGATTCTCCTGATTGAATACATGTTGCATCACAAGGTTTTGTTGGATTGACCTTTATTTTGCCACTGTAATTGATGGGTTGGCCTCTCATTGGATCACTCAACTAATGGCAATTTTGTTTCCAGTAATTCATCTTCAGGTTCTGGCAACAGATGTGTTCCATCAGGAGTGGTTGGGATTACAACTCTAAGCCTTCTCTTTACTTCATATGTTATCCAGGGTGCTAAGTATGATTAGTTTCAATCCATTGTCTAGTCCTGTTGATAGCACCAGATTGGTTGCTACACATGGGTTTCTGCTTCTGCAGTCCCTTCTGGTGTGTCCAACTCTTCAACTTCTTTTTAGGCTTCCTCTGTGGAGGCAGCCATGATTTGATATGGTACACCCAGCTATCCAGAAGCTCAAGCTTCTGGCATAGAGGTCATGTTGTCTTTCCCATGGCATCGGGGTTCAATTTCTAAGGTAGCTATGTTTCTGTCCCAGTTTTTACTTAGTCCAAATGGCACATTTATAAACGGTAATGACTTTCATATTGATGATGGTGTATTGAGAGAAGGTATAACCCATTTCAATCAATTTCAAAGGTTGCCATGTTTCTGTCCCAGTTTTTACTTCGTCAAAAAGGCACATTTATCAATGGTAAAGACATGCATATTGACGATGGTGTATTGAGAGGAGGTAGAACCCATTTCAATCAGTAGTGTCAACATAACTCGTTTTTTTTACCGAGCTTTTTGGCAGAGGTTTTTGCATCTTCCACAATCGTTTTGTTTAAGGCAGCCTTCAGTTATCACGACTACATATTTTTTGACTCCCCAGTCACTTTGTGTACTTGGTCCCAATTGAATATTCCAGTTACATATGAGGTATATTAAGGTTACATAACGTGTTCTGTCTTCACATCTGTTAATGACCTGACTCTTTCATGCCATGTATCCCCTTTACCAGTTGGAGTTATTAGCATTGTTTGTCCACAGACCACTTTCTCTCGCTATGGCCTCAGACCAGTTATTCTTCCCCAACACACTGTCAGACAAGAAAGGTGTTCAATTCTCTGATTCATCCGTTTATCTTTTCTCTCTTCTATGTCCAATCAGATTTCAATCTTGGTCATGTTCAGTGGGTCTTGAAGGTATTGTAGCCTGCACTAATACCTTTAGAGATACTAGACAATGATTTTTATTCTGGGCTCTCTTTGAAGAGGAGGAATCTTCTGTGAGTCACATCTCATCAGATTTGTCACTTTTCTATGCCCTTAGCAGCCCGGTCAAATTGCCCTCTGAAGGTAAAGGTCATG